CCCCCTGACGATCCCAGAGTTCTTTGCGCAAACACGGGTATCCGCTTACTGGCAACTCATTCATTAGAATTTAACTCGCGTAGTCAAGCATTTCAAGAACTTCAAAGAATACTTTAACGAATTCAGAAGTGTTAAACTCGCGTTAGCCTTAAAACAGTTTAAGGCTACTTGGCGAAGTGGTCAGGGTGATGGTGTTGAAATGCAGAGGTCTTTTTTCAAGACTTTCAAACTGCCACTGGTTGGACTTGCTCTTGGGTATCCTCAGTTCAACGCTTGACCATGGTTTGTAAATAGCAAGCTGGTCAGCCTCCTGTCTGTTGGGATTCGTTACGTTTAGTTCAAAATGGCTCTTTCTGGTATTTGAGCGTCATTCCAGAAAAGTAGCTGGCTGATCTTAAAAGCCCTAGCTAGACAGTCTATGACTAGTATCATCAGACAATAAAAATGAATTTCAATACTAATGACTATTTCTTGTGTTTCAGGCCTTCCAAAAAGAACTGACTCCACTCCAAAGTGATGTAACAGCGGTCAACCAGAAGGGCACAATGCTGAGCGAGCAGTGTCGCCCGGAAGACGCGGACTTGATCTCAGCACAACTGGAAGAAATCAACGCTCGGTGGGATGACTTGTGCATTCATTCCAGTGAGAGGCAGCAGACCATCGAAGGAGCTCTGTTACAGCTTGGACAATTCCAACTGGCTCTAGAAGAGCTGCTTGTTTGGGTAAAACAGACCAATGCCACACTTGACGAACAGCTGGCCAAGAATGTTCAAGGAGATGTGAAGTTTATTGAAGTTGAGAAAGCGAAACATAAGGTACGATAAATTTTGAGATGGAATTCTACACTTTACAAACATTTAAATGGAATGTGACGTACATTTCACTGAAATGGAAGCCAAATTTTTCAGTGATGTTGCTTGTTCCTGCCACTGAATCTGGCTGAACTCTAACTAAATATTTTCTTTGTTTTGATTTTTCAGATTCTTCAAAATGACATCCTCGCACACGAACCTTCTGTTGAATCAGTATCACGTGCTGCTTCCTCGCTACTGATGGAGAACGGAGACAGTAAGCTGGAGAGCGGCGCCCTGCAGATGAAGGTGACGGAGCTGCAGGATGGCTGGCAGAAGGTGTTGGACAAGGCAGCCCGCCTGGATGCCGAGCTCGCTGCTGCGCTGAGCGCGTCCCATGACGTCATGGACCAGATGAAGGAACTAAGGATTTGGCTGAATGAATCACGTGAATTCCTTTACTCCAGGAGACAAATCGGAGGCAGACCTGAGAGTGCGCGTAATCAAATCGCTAAACATAAGGTTTGTTTGTTGAATCCAATGCATGTTTTCTAATCCTTGGTCAGTGGGTTGTCCTTCGATTGTTGCTGTTGTTTTCATACATTTACGTTGTGATCAACTCCAGTTGCCTTGTTTTGTTCCAGTTGCCACGGACTCGTGTACTTTTTGTCTAGTTTCATTCGTACAGGACATTTGGCACTGTAACTCCTGTGTAGTTAAAGAATTTAGATGCAACCATTTCTTTCCAAATTTTTCTTCCGTGATTCTCTAATGTCATCGATCGCTTCCCCCACAGGACTTTTTGGACGTGTTAGAAAAACGTAAGGAAACGTATGAACGAATCACTGAAGCCGTCCAAGCCATGATCAGGAACAGCGACCCGACGACAGCAGCCTCGCTTCAGAAGCAGCTGGATGAAGTGAAAGAAGCATGGGATCAAGTGAGCACTAAGGCTGAAGAGGAAGGTCATAAACTGGATGACGCTCTCAAGAATGCTGAAGAATGGGAGAAACAACTGACAGACATGGACTCATGGCTCACACAAGTTCACGATCGAATAGTGTCATTCGATCACGTCAGCTCTATATTGGATGTTTTGGAAAAACAACGGCATGAACATAAGGTACGAAATAAGGGACAAAAGCACTATTTTGTTATTTATCACCTAAATGCACTTGATACCATGCTATCTTTAAATACCGTCTTTAACGACTCCTCTTTTGCGGCTGTCTTTTCCTTACAAATGTGTTGTATGTGTTTTATTTTTGTTTGTTTCGTTTTCGAAAAGGACTTTATTACAGAGATCTTTACAGCAATCATTTATTTGGGCAACCGTAAATTTGTTTGGCTATCTCGTCGTCAACATTCGAGATTTCCGTTAGCCGATGTTCGATGAAGAAAACAATTCCATAACGACTTTCAGAGTAAATAGAGACCAAAACGACTTGTGTGATATGAGGTATATCAAGAGAAATTACGAACTGTTTTTTTTTTCTGAGCTCGCTCTTCGAAACTGCCAAAATTCGCGCAAGGTTTCCTTTTAAAATTCAAAACATAAAACTTATTTACCCGTCAATTTGTTCTAACTCGTCTTCTGTACCCCATTTGCACCTCACAGGAACTCAAAGACGATATCGACGCTCACCGTGAACCATTCAAACAGCTCAAGATTCTCTCGTATAAGATCACTGATGTGTGTATGCAGGAAGATGTTGCTTACATAGAAGTAACTGTCACTGAGCTGGAGGCTCGATGGAAGGAGTTGCTTGGTCTGTCTTCTGCCAGAAAGAAAGATCTGGAAGAAAATTACAAGCTGTCACAGAAGTTCTTCAAGGGTGCTGAGGAGTTGTTGAAGATGCTGGATGAAGCGGAGCAAGGACTTAAGGACGAGGAACCGATCGGAGTGGATCCTGTTCATTTGAGGGCGCAATTGAAGAAACACAAGGTTTGTATATAAGCTTATCTCTTGCTTATTAGCTACGTCTCAACAGAACACAACAGAGACAGAAGGCTGGTCTTATAATCCCAAAGCTGCTGTCACTGAGTGGAATTTTTGTTCTCGGTAATTCCCGGTTTCGTGGAGAACTAAATAATGGGTGGGAGCATCTCGAATTTAGGACATGGAAGGAGGCACTGTTGCCGGGGTTGAATATTGCTAGAGACATAGTGGCTTGGAGAAGCAGGATCAATGGCCCCATTCTCCACGAGAAGAGAAGAGAAGGGATCCATGTATCCCGAGATCGGTTGTATTGAAAAGGGCTTAACGCTAGAATCGTCAACGTTACAAACTCTCTTTCTCTGTTTTGCTGTTTTGGTGATTTGCCAGGAGTTCCAGTCCATGCTGGGTGCCAGTCAAGCTTCAATGGATGGCACTATCAAGACCGGCAAAGTGTTAATGGACAAGAGTCCACCAGACGACTCCATCATGATTGAAGGCAAGATAGCTGACCTCAAAGCACGATGGGATGCCATCTGTGCACTGTCAGTCGAAAGGTTGGTGATAACATGATATTCATTAAACTGTATTTCCCTGCCGTTCTCGTTATGAGAACAATATACTTCACCTGTTACATAACAAAGAGCAGACAACATTGTGACCCAGCCCTTGTGATTTATCTGCCGCTTGTTTGTGGATAAGGTTGTCATGGTGACTAACCACTGTTTCATTTCCTGTGCAGACAACAAAAGCTTGAGGAGGCGCTTCTCTTCACTGGAATGTTCCAGGATGCCTTGCAGTCCCTGCTTGACTGGCTTAGTACAGTAGAACCCAGTCTTTCCACGGAGACCGCCGTCATGGGTGATCCTGAAACTGTACAGATCTTGATTGACAATCACAAGGTAAGGAAAGTCTGTTCCGTTTCCGTTACAAAGAGAAAGGCACGACAGAAATTTTGATCAGATCTTCACTTGGGTTTTGAAAACATACCAAGCAAACACTTCAACTAAACTAATTTTCAGGCCACACACTTAAGGTGTTTTGTTGTTCCATAGACATTCCAACGTGAGCTTGGCCGCCGTCAAGCAAACTATGACTCTGTGATGAATGCAGGAAGGACAATGGTCGATGAAAACAAAGTTGAAGATCCGCAGAAACTGGAGGAGAGGCTTGAGGACTTGCGCGTGCGCTGGGAAGCTATCAGTGCCTTGTCTGCTACCAAACAAGACAGGTAACTGAAATAGAGACAACGCTATAAACATTTTTGATTTTTAAGCTGAGAAACGACTCTTAGTTCGCACATTCAACAAAAACAAAATGGTTACTCTCACTAGCTGGCAGAATTGCAAAAGTTCTTACAGCTACTCACGGCTAACGTTTGCTTTCTCTTGTAGGCTGGAGAATGCCCTGGTTTTAGCAAAAGAATTTGACTCGGGTGTGAAGACCGAATTGCGTATTCTGAAAGACTTTGAAGACACGCTCAGGGGACTAGGTCCTATTGCAGACGACCTGGAAACTATAAGCGAACAGTTGACTGAGCACAAGGTAAGTGAGGCGTTGTCACATCATAAGCTTGTGTTACTGAGACCTATTGTCACTAATGTGAATATTGCAATTTTTTGGTAGTTCTTTCTGCTTTGGAATTTTTAGGGTTACAGCTTTGAAACCTCAAACTTGAAGGGGTTTGTATTCTTTTGTCCAAGTTCCTTTCACACGGAGATCTCAATTCAACTGTTACTTGCACTGCAGGCTTTCCATGAAGATTTGATGGCAGAGGAAGTGAATGTCCAATCAGCCATCAAGAAGGGTCAGGTCATAGCGCGCTTCTGTCATCCCAGTGCGCTGCAGATTATCCAGCAGTGGATTGCACGACTTAAGAAACGCTGGGATGAGGTGACTGTCTCCGTTATTATGATATGATAACTACAAACTGAGTTTGTAAGAAAGCGAGTTGAAGTAAAACGCTGTTTTAGAAAAAGTAAAACTTTACAACATTACTCGTGTTCTTGTCAACAGTTAACTACTTTTACGTTGTTTGTTTACAAATTTGACGTTGTTAATCTATCTATACCTGTATAATCGTCTGACAGAATGTTTCTATTTGTCGCGGAAAATAACCCCAAGAAATGCCCTTTGTTCTTGAAGGGAGTAAAAATACTAATGTTGATTCTGAGCGTTTAGGAAAGATTTTCATAAAATTCACGGAGCCTTTACGGAACTTGTGTGATCGCTTATTTTTCGCGGAACCTTTACTTAGTATCTACTTAAACTTTCCACTGAAGCTTTCTACCATTTCTTGTTGGTTTTAACATTTTCCTGCGGTTCGTTATTTGGCTTTGTTATCACAACGTGTTGCTTCGCGGTCACAAATATGCCATAAGACCCATCTAACCAGCTGGCTGCCGACTGTGTTTCAGGTGCGCAAGTGGTCAGTTCAGCGACTGACGCGTCTGGAGGAAGAACAAGCCAAGCTGACAGAGGAACAGAGTATGATGGAGGATCTGCTCAATTGGATCGGAAGGAAGGAAGAGATCTTAATCGAAAAGGAGAACGAACCAATACCAGATGACGATTACGAAGAGGTCATGAGACTGTTGGAAGACCACAAGGGTTTCCAAGAAGAAATGGCCAAAAAACAACCGACATACGATAGCCTCACCAAGTCAGTTAAAAGGCGCGGCTCTGTTGTCCCTGCTGCTTCCGTCTCCCCGCTGCAAACGCAGGTCACTCCAGAGCACAAGCAAGGACGGCGCCCTAGTAGCAGGATACCGAAACTCGCCAGTCCTGCCTCGTCCTTCACACGGGAACGATCACGTGACAAGTTGACTAGCCCAGGCTCCTCGTTTACGCGGTCGGGTTCCACCACACTTGACAAGAACCATCCAGCCCTGCTGCACTTGTCGAAACGATGGCAGCATCTATGGCTCCTTTCAATGGAAAGGCTGCGACGCCTTCAGGAGAAGCTGGAACGAATTGCTATTGTAAGTACAGCTGCTTTTAGGACAGACAAATTATCTAAAGGGATTTTTGCGGTAGAATGAAAGTACGAGTCATTCTCGGAAATGAAGTTTGTGACTCACGCTGTTTCACTTGTCCTGTACTTGTAAAATGAAAACGACCAGCCTGTCGCTGTACTGTTTCTTTGAGGTTCTGTGATAGTTTTTTGTTAACAAGTGTCGCAAAACGTGTCGGAGACTTTCTATATCGACTTATGCCTTCATCACTTCTCGAAATCGCTGACTTTTTCAATTTTGTTTTTCTACAGAGACGTGCCTCGGCGAAGTTTGACTTCATCGAGTGGAAGAACAGGGTACGATTTCTGACACCATAACAAGTGATCGAATATTACAACAAAAGATTATGTGTACACTATCAGATTAATTTTAACATATTATGTACTTCTTAATTAGCGGAAGGCAGTGTGGGTCACTTGTTACTGGGTAGGACTCCGAGCAGTCCGAGTTCACGCCCTGGTTCCTTGTACTGGGGGAGAGCGGGGTAACTTGTGAAAAACTAGCATCCCATCCAGGGGGGTATCAATGCTCCTAGTCGCTTCATGCTACAGGAAAAGGCATCTTTGATGCATAAGATTGCGCAGAACATTGAACCATGTATTAAGATAAGATAAGATAAGATAAGATTAGAACCTTTATTTAAGTGTAAAATGTATTTAGCCCTACCGGACTAATTGGGGAATTGGGGACACTAAACAAGAGCCTGAGGTAGTAAAAAGAAAATGCTAAACTAGTGCGTGGATAATTTCCGTTTGCAATCGTTAAATTGTGATTCTGTCTCGTCTTCACAGTTCAACAAGTGGCTTCGTGACAGCAAGTCACGCGTTCTCGACATCTTCCGCCGTATGGATCACGATCGCGATGGTAAACTAACGCGAGAGCAGTTCATCACTGGAATACTCAACACAAGTAAGTGTGACATAATCTTTCAACCTAGCGTGACATACCGTTCTAAACAAGCATCATCACCATGTACACTCGCGTGACACGTTTTGTAGTCTTGTGTAACGCTGTATTTCTCTACTTTAAGGCTTCCCCACTGAGAGATGGGAGATGGAAATAGTCGCCAGCAAATTTGAACGTGACGGACTCATTGACTACAAGGAGTTCGTGAACTCACTAAAGGATAAAAAACCGGTGAGTAGTAATTCCTTTGAACTCCATCACGGGAAACACAACGATAGTGGTTTGATTTTAGCTAATGACAGGAACAAGCTATGAAGAAAGGATGACTAACAATAGCTATGATGGAAATGAATCACAATAAATACTGGAGGTTCGCGTTATTTAGTTTGGCTCGATTCACTTGTTTGTTCCATACTCCTTCAAGAACGTTTTCTTTCGGCATTTAGTTTGGGCGAATAACAAAATGTTTTTCGACAAATCGAAAGCGCTTTTAACATTTCTCAGAAAATTCGGTTGTCGTAGTATTGTAGTTTGTAACAGTAACGTTTTTTCCTTTCGTTTCGTTGACTATTTGCTGTTTTCTTTGTTTCAGGCGAGCAAGAAGCCGGAGAAACCAAAGACTGAAGCGCAGCAGATTCAATCTGAAGTCGAACGCCTGTGTCGCAAGTGCGAGTGCTGCACTCAATTTCAATACACCAAAGTGGCCGAGAACAAATACAGAGTAAGTAAACCATTTTTTAATCTCTTTTAAGCTGACGATATCATGCTATGTTCGACGATTCTGTCCTGACAGAGCTTCACTCGCCCAGAGACGTAGCAAAATGACAATGTGGCATTTGTTTTCTTGTCGGTTTCGTTTCGTATCCACCGTTTGATGAGTCCTTACACTGTTGGAGATGCCGCATTGCCAAGCGTGTGCGAAAATGTTTGCATGTCGAACTTTAATTTTGGCGGCGCTAAGGGTGTTTTCTTGTCAATCAGACCCTATGTTCCGTCAATGGAAGCCACACCACATCAGAAGACTTCCACAACATAAATATGCGACAGAATGTCAAAGCATTTAACTGATCTCTCTTTGTATCTCTCACAGTTCGGTGACTCGCAGAAACTGCGTTTGGTTCGTATCCTCCGCAGCACTGTCATGGTCCGAGTCGGAGGAGGTTGGGAAACACTGGAAGAATTTCTTCAAAAGAACGATCCCTGCAGAGGTGAGTTAATGCTCTTTACTTTTGAACTGAAGTTTTAGTAGATCATTCCCCCACCCCCTTGCAATGCTTGTTCTGTCCGTGTTTTGTGATTTTGTTGTTGTGGTATTTCATGAGAGACTACGCGGTGTGTGGAGAGGAAGGGGAAATTTCAGGCAATCTTGTCAACACTATTTAAGAGGATGGTGGGGCAACTTTTGGTCCCAGACATGAAAGCCTAGTATATGTACTTTTCAGTGGACATGACAGTGTTTTTCCTTTTGCTTATTGCTCTACTAGCTGCGGGCCGAACAAATGTGGAACTCAGAGAACAGCTGTCGAGACCCGAAGGCGTGACACAAACAATGGGATCGTTCACGAGTAGACGGCAATCAGAACAGAGCAAAACAGTGGTCACCGAGAAACCACCGACTGGTCTTGGTCGAAAACCACGACTTGACGTTCCGAGCAGCGGTTACGGAATGCGCCGAGAAAAGTCCGGCGAACTTCGACCTCGTCGTGAAAAGTCGGGAGAATTTAAACCACCCAGTGGTCCACCTAAGCAGAGAAGCGGGACAAGCCTGAAGGGGGCGGCTGAAAAGTCATCTCCAGGAAAGAAAACTAGTATCGGATCAAGAGTAAGGAAAACAGACAGTCAAACATCACTTGGAAGTACAGGATCCCTCGAGGATTCGTCGGAGACTTCATCTCCTCGGGTGTCCTCGGGAATTCCTTCAAGCCCCACGAGTAGTACCTCATCCCGCGGATCCCCGGATCGTCCCAGTTCGGCTGCGTCAAAATCCTCTAGTAAGGGGACTGGGCTCTCAAGAACTGGTACATCAGGGAGTCGAGAAAATGTCCGCGGTAGCAGGGAGAGTCTTCATAAACCCAAAGAGGGAGCGCGAGGCACTGCCATTCCTAAAAGCACAAGTAAGAGTCCTGGAACAACAAAGACAAGAAGCGGAGAAGAGAAAAAAGGTGCGGCGAAGAAGTAGATGCGCCGACAACGACATCTAAATCAAATGAGAATTCTTTCAGAGTGTGAAAACAAGTTAAGATGGACAAAGTTAGGTAGTCTTAAAAGTAAATTGTGTTCGTAATTCTAGAAAAGTATTTAATAAGTCTGCTGTAAGAGTTTGAAGTTAAATAGTTATTTTAATTAAAAGTCGTCTATACGAGAATCTACAACGAACACAAATATGCAATCGTTTTATACCTGTTAAGCATAACTCTTCGTAATTGTAACAAGACTAAAAACGGCCATTTTTTGAAATTTGCGCTTTTTTTATACCGTGTAAAGGTCATACCTGTTTGGATTGCTCACAGACAGGAAAGCTTTATATTGAATATTGCAAACCGTATAATCATTGCATTTGTAACATAGCCCTTTGGGAACGTAACAGTACACTAAGTTAACAAGTCATGTTTTTGGACGATAATATTTGTTGAAAAATTGTAGAGTTTGAAGCTATTTAAGTAGAAATTATTGTCACATTTGAACTTTTCGTAAGCGCTTTCCGTGTCTGGCGTTGACAAGAGTTGATGTTCTCAACTCTCTTAGCCTACATGTTTTTGCGAAAACTAAATTAAAGCCATGGACATTTTGTAGGAGTAATAAAGGTAATTTTCTATGACTGCTGAGTGTATTCGTATTTTTCAGTCTTGACCTGTGTCCCCGCTTTCGTATCTCTTCCCCGACATATTGTGTAAATTTTTGTCACTAATTTGACCGCTTCTCTCGGCGTATCTCCATTTCTCGGGTGATTGTTGTTTCCCGAGGCGTTAAAGTTTGAAGCAAAGAGCGTACTAAGAACGTAGCCCAGGGCTGATGATTGGGTGAGAAATTTACCCCATGTTTGAGACATTGACGAGCACACCTGCAGGTACAGTGTGATCCTCTCCAAATGATTTACTTTCAAACCACCGTTTTAGAAGGGTGAA